CTTTGATTGAGACCCCACATTTTCCCAGGTACCAGTCCCTGGTTTCATTTGTAAACTGGCCCAAGGCCAATCCGAAGGCTTTCTTGACAGAGCAGGGATTCAAATCTGGGTCCCCCAAATCCTAGCCCGACACTCTGATCACTTCAAAGCATGCCATCAGAGGCCATGTAAAAAGCCTCCTCTTTGGCATCCCATTTGCACATTCATTGGTCTTCAGTGGTCCAACAGTTGCACGCAGATGTCAACCAGCCAGTCCTGAGACCACCAAAGAAGTCCAGGGCTGCTACAGGGCAAACCACCTCTGTTCATCTCTTCCCTTGAACACCCTATGGGGGTCACCATAAGTCGGCTGTGACTTGACAGCACTTTACACTGATGTAATCCTTTCTCCGAACATCAGGCAAAAAACTTTGCTTCTTTCTTACAAACAGATGTACATATTAGGAGGTACGTGCGTTCACGGTAACACATGTACTGGGTTTCAGTGATGCATCTTGAATGGAAATGGCCTAGAAAGCAAAGGGGGAGGCAGATGTTTACCAAGTCCAATTTCCCACAAGCAGCTGCACTGTCCTCGCTCTTCCCTTCCCCCGATTGTATTCATCAATTTCCCACTACCTGCTGCATGGTAGTTTCCCCCTTATCTTGTCAATCTCAAAAAACAAGGATCTAGAAGACACGGGACAAAATTGGGGGATGCTGTGGGTCAAAATGTGGCTGTGCAGCAAGTAGTGGGAAATTGACGAATACAATCAGGGGAAAGGGAAGAGCGAGGGCGGCGCAGCTGCTTGTGGGAAATCGGTCCAAGTGTTTTTCCTCCAGTCATGAGCCCTGCAGATCCCATTCTAGCAGCCTCCCTTGCTGATCTCCAGAGATCAATTCCTCTGGGGGAAATGGCTGCTTTGATGGGTCGACTGTATGGCATTATATCTCACTCCAGGTGGAGCCTGGAGATCCCCCAGAATTACAACTGATCTTCAGCCTCCTTTGCATCCTTATCTGTTGAGATTTCTTACCAAAAGGCCAACCTAGATATGATCTGTTTCAGAGACACTGCTCTGACTTTCATACATGGCTTTGAGGGCGTGAGATCATGTCTCTGTTTTTTCCATCCCTGTCACTGTGTCCAGTTTGCTTCTGGGTCTTTCAAGCAGTCTGTACGTCCCAGCAAAGACTGCTGTCTACAATCTAGTGTCCAGATTGGGTCAGAAATAGCTTGGCCTACCTGAGCTTTACCCCCATAATTTTGCCCTGTACTTGTTACACTCTGCAAGGTCATTGAGAGCTCTCATACTGGAGCATCGCTCCAGTGTAAAGGTTCTCCAAATATGCAATTGTTTTTGACAATATTTGGAATAAAAGAGGCGGTTGTATCTTTTTGTGCATGTGAAGAAATAGCTCTTTCATCTCCAGCACACCCCTCTATTGACAGATGGGGGATAAAATATCTCTTCGGACCACATCCTGATTTATACCTTCTGTCCATGGAGCCCTCAACTTTCCCCTTAACTTCAATGTACTTTTCTCTTTCCTCGCTTCCTGAAAGCAGTGCTATCTGCATGAAATTGGCCTCCAAACAAGACAGGGAGGGAATCTGTCGCTATCAGGGTTCTCGGATGGCATGGGAGGCATTTCGCCCGCCTGTGGATGAATAAAAGGAAGCAAAAGCAATCATGGCCTCTGTCAGCTCTGGCTCACGAAAATGATGTCGCTTTGCAGCCTGTGATGGCTTGTTGGGATTGCAAGTGGAACAAGATGAGATTGGGTCAGAGTGAGTTTGTAGAGAGCCGTAATGGACCCGGGGAGGAGAGAAGGGAACAATACAGCAAGGCCGTTTGCGTTTGTGAGGAAAGCTGCACTTGTCCCAACGCCTGAATGGGCTGCATTTTGCCTGATGTTTGGAGAAAGGATTATGTCTGTGTAAAGTGCTGTCAAGTCACAGCTGACATGGTGACCCCCCCCATAGGGTATTCAAGGGAAGAGATGAGCAGAGGTGGTTTGCCACTGCATGCCCCTGTGTAGCAACCCCTGACTTCCTTGGTGGTCTCCAAGAACTAACCAGGTCTGACCCTACATAGGTTTGGGGCTAGGGCCAGAAAAAGGATACCAGTGTCAGCTACACTGCCATAGTGAGGGAGGGGAGGAAGGGAGTCTGCTGGGTGAACATCTTCCTGTCCAGGAATGTTAGCTTTCTCTTCACTCATGGCCCTTATCCAGTTTCCTGACCTTGATGCTTCACGCTCTCTCCTTCCCTGGGGACCTGTAGTCATTTCTTTGCACGTGTAAGGCTAGCACCTCTGATTGGCTTAACTCCAACAGAAGACCCCGCTTTGAACGTAGTATATCTTTTCCCCTCCCGCCTGGTGGATTAGCTTTTGCACAGGATGTATGTACAGATGACCTGCTGCTACTGAACTCAATAAACTTGATCCTTCTAAGGAACATTGTTGAGCCTGAGTGCTGTGGGACTCTGACAACCAGAGGACAAAGTCACTGGCTGAGATCAGACTCTCTTGGTGGCCTTCAGGAGAGAGTTGCTCCCACACTCAGGACTGGCTGGTTGACATCTGAGTGCCAACTGCTGGATCACTTAAGACCAATGAATGTGAAAATGGGATGCCAAAGGGGAAGCTTTTTACATGGCCTCTGCTTTGCAGTGAAGCAATTAGAGTGTCAGGCTAGGATCTGGGAGACCTGGGAGACCCAGATTTGAATCCTTTACATACTCTTACCCTAACCTACCTCACAGGGTTGTCATGAGGACAAAAACTAGGAGAAGGTTGGCATAATAATGCTCAGAAGACTAAAGAGTGCTACCTAGATATTATATATGTGGCTTGGATCCCACAGTACGGTTGCTTTCGCACTAGAGCTGCCTCGATGTTGTGCCGCCGTTTGCACCGATACTATTGGTCAATTTCACACCCAAAGCTGCGGGGCTGCATTTTGACTCGCGGCTTCGCCCGATTTCCCCCACAGTTTTGTGATCCTGTTTTTTGAGTATCACGAAACTGCGGAGGAAATCGGGCGAAGCCGCAGGTCAAATGCAGCCCCGCAGCTTCGGGTGTGAAATTGAACAATAGTATTGGGGTCAACGACGGTGCAACATCGAGGCAGCTCTAATGCGAAATCAGCCTACATTTCCGCTGAAAGAAGCGATTTCTATCAGTAGAGTGAGATTGCTACAGTAGAGCGAGTCCTCGCTTTGTGATGGATGGTTGGACAAGTTCCTTTCGGCCCTGTATGTAAAATGGGAGTCATAGTGATACTTTATAACCGTGACCATTGGCTAAAAAATCTTTAATCATTTGGTTATCAGTCTTTTAACCAATAAAGTAAATGTAAACAAATGTGACGCTCCATTTCTACACCTGTTGTTTGTCCTGTTGGGAAACGTTCCCCACCCCCTCACAGCATTGTGGTGCCTTTGTGCACATTCTGGGGTCTCCCTGTATTTTCTCCAACCTTTCCCAAACTTCAATCTTCCAGGTGGGGCCCGTGTGTGTGTGAGTGTGTGTTAAGCGCCTTCAAGTCACTTCTGACCTATGGCAATCCTATGAATTAATCATCTCCAGAACCTCCTGTCATTAACAGGCCTTACTCAGGCCGTGGCTTCCTTGATGGAGTCAATCCATCTCACATTCGGTTTCCTCTTTTCCTGCCGCCTTCAACTTTTCCTAGCATTATTGTCTTTTCCAATGACTCATGTCTTCTCAGAATGGGACCATAGTACGATAGCCTCAGTTTGCTCATTTTAGCTTGTAGAGACAGTTCAGGATTGATTTGATCTATAAAATATACTGGGTTCAGACGCGTAGAAGTGATCAGCTCATAGTTTATTAGTGATTCAGCAAAAGAAAGAAGACTGGCTATCCCTGGCCGAAGCCGGGTATTTATGCCTGAAAAGGGTTACACCCAAAAGACACCCCACTCTCAACGATAGGCTAGTTACACACTATTGTTTCCCAACTGGTTTACTCTAGGATCCCTATCTCCCTACTGGTCCATTCTAGGATCCTAGCGATCTATTGTTATGCATCCCAAGCTAAGTAATTTTGCAAGGACAGCTCAGGCTCAATACATAACACCCCTCCCCCCAAAGTTCAGAGCCTCTTCAACTGACAAAGTCCTTTAAGTACGCGGGTTGATGCCGCTCATGGTTCGAGTGGTGGGGTTCCGCTGACGGGGTTGCAGGTTCAGGAACCGTGTCGGGGGCCGGACCTGCCGCCGGACTGGGAGAGGGTGGTGGTGCCGGGACATTGTTGGGGCCACCAGTGGCGGCTGGCACTGGCATTCCACTGGTGGCCTCCGAAGGCTATCCGTTGATTTCCGGCTGGGCGCTGCTGGTGGGCATGTTCTCTTCAGGCTCCGGCTCCTCTGGTCTTAGCAGATGCTTGTCACTGTCTTCTGGTGTGTATCCCAGGTTCAGTGTTGGGGAGACAGCTACGGAGCTGGTCTATGTGCTGGTCTATGTGCCTGTGGAGCCTCTGGCCATTTTCTGTGGATACCTCATATGATAGAAGCCCAGTCACCCTGATAACCTGGGCGAGGACCCAGGCTGGGCCGCTGGAGAAGTTGTGTGCAATTAGCCATATTCCCGTGCACAGGAGAAGGAGCCACAGGCCGTTAGAGCCGAAGCTTGAGAACCGGAAGTGCTCCCACGGTTCCCTGAACCCCAGACCCTACACACCACCTGCAAGGCCAAAGATAAGCAAACGTTACAGAAGCACAGAAGGAATGCAGCAGTACTTGGTACACAGGGCAAGCAAGCACCCCACCCCCAATCCTTATGGCAGCATAGCTGACACTCTGTGCATCACGATTGTCTGGGCCTCTGCAGTGGCATTGTCTATGGGAAGCTGCTGGTAGGCCTGGGCCAATTTGCTGAAAACCTTCGCACCCACCAAGGATGCCAAAGCATGGCTGACTACTGGAACAGGATAAGTGTGGTCCTGTAGGGCCTTGTTTATGGTGCACTTATAGTCCATGCAGATATGGACGTCCCTATTGGGCTTCACTGGGATGACGATGGGGGTCTCCCAGACGGCATGTGCCACTGGCTCTAGAACCCCCTGTGCTACCAGGTGGTCCAGCTCTTCATCTATCTTGGGACGCAATGCAAATGGGACGTGCATGGACTTCATATAGATGACGTGTACAGCAGGGTCGAGGTCTAGGGAGACTGACAGACTGGTGTAGTGACCAAGCGTCCCATTGAAAATGACCGGGAACTCGTTGCACACGTTGCTGAAGTTTGTAGGCTGCACGTGATGCACTCCCATCACCCCAAACCCCAGGGGAGCAAACCATGACAGACCCAGTAAACTAGTAAGCTGCCCTTCCACCACCAACAAATCCAAAAGTCCTTCAGGGTTCTTATACTACACATGGAACTTGCCCCACCCTTTAATGGCCACCGGGTTCTTTTGGAAGTCTCTGAGGGTGAAGCCAGCGGGTTTTAGGCGAGGACCCCCTTGCGGGCAGAGCCTCCTGAGAGTCTCTTCTGATATGATGGAGATGGAGGACCCTGTGTCCAACTCCATTTCCCAAGGGGCCCCCCTCTATTAACACGGTTACTTTAATTTTGTCAGGAGTGTCCTAGGGCAAGTGTAATACCTGGTGTTGGTGGACGGCTGTATTGTGGAGCTCTGCTGATTCCTGGTGAGCAGTTGGATGATGCCGGTTTCCTCAGGAGCAGCAGGCTCATGCAATGTGGCCTTGTTTTCCACAGGTTCGGCAGATTGCGTCACAGAAATGGCAAGAACGGCATTTGTGCTCTTCACCGCAACTGACGCAAGGCGCTTGAGCAATAGTCTTCATGGGCTGCGGGGCGGTCGCAGATGGTGGGCGTGAGTCCTGGTGAGCCGGCCAGCGTACCTGGAGTATTTCTTCCTCGTCCGAGGCATTGGAGACTGGGGATGTGGAGGCCTGATGCGTGGAGTGGCCCTGGCAATCCCGTTGTGCCTTTTCAAAAGCTGTGGCCATGCGTAGTCCCTTGTACAGTTTGAGTTTGTCTGTACCGATGAGTTTGCGGCGGAGTTTCTGTTCACAGACGCCCCAGACGAACTGTGTTAAGAGGGTGTCCTCGAGATCTGGGAACTTGCAGTTTATGGCCAGCCTGTGGAGATCAGCCATGAAGTCGGTGGCCACTTCACTGGACTTTTGGTGGTGCACCAAGAAGTCCATGCGCTTTGTCATCTTGGTTGGTTGAGGCGCGAAATGGCCGGTGAGGGCCTTGATGAGTTCATCGTACATGGCTTCTTCAAGGGTTTTAGGAGCGATGAAGCCCTGGCCGAGGCGTAGTGTGGTGATACCACATGTGCTGATCAGGAGCGATTTTTTCTTGTCGATGTCGTCTATGCCTTGGAATCAAACAAGTACTTCAGTTGCTCCACCCACACTTCCCACAGCTCAGGGTGAGTGGGGTCAAACACAAGAATGATTCCTGGAGTGGCAGCCATGACCTGTAGAGCAATGCGATGCGTGGAGTCCTGGAGATTGTTTTGCAGTGCGCTACTGGAGGCTGGGTCAGGCTCGCTCATCGAGATCCCATCCTCGTCGCCAGTGAAATATACTGGGTTCAGACACATAGAAATGATCAGCTCATAGTTTATTATTGATTCAGCAAGAGAAAGAAGACTGGCTATCCCTGGCTGAAGCCAGGTATTTATGCCTGAAAAGGGTTACACCCAATACACACCTCACTCCCAACGATAGGCTATATACACACTATTGTTTCCCAATTAGTTTACTCCAGGATCCCTGTCTCCCTACTGGTCCATTCTAGGATCCGAGCGATCTATTATGCATCCCAAGCTAAGTCCTTTTGCAAGGACAGTTCAGGCTCATGGTGCCACCACAAGTGCCAGTCTGTCCACATGTAGTCTGCCTACACGGGTGGAGAATCAGTTTCCCTCAAATTCCACCCTGCAGGGGATTCAATATGTGTGACAGGAATGTAGTGAGTGTGCTTCCAGAACATAGCAATTATTCTTTTTTAATGGATATCTTTATCCACCATAAAATATCTTGCATACCAAAAATATTTTGCAATAATATTAGGGTTGTTATTAAGATTAATAAAATGAATAATTTAATAATCTTCTAGCAACCATTGCTGGAAGAGGACACTGTCTCTGTGTTGCTTAGCAACTAGTACTATGAGGGGGGTGAGGAGTGGAAAGAGATGAAGCTCCACAATCTCTCTGTGGCCACCACCAGAAAAGAAAATTATTTACTTGTTTGCCTCCCCAGTGGGGACCTAAACTGGTTTCCAGCGTTCCTCTCCATTTCATCATCACAACAACCCTGTGAGGTAGGCTGGGTTGAGAATGACCGGCCCAAGGTCATAGTGACCTTCTGTGGCTGAGTGAGGATTCAAACCTGGATCTACCAGGTCCTGGTTTGACACTCTAACTACTGTGTCCACGTGTTCCAAACTCCTGGAAGGAGCTGAAGTCCTTAATTTCATTTTGTCTTCACTTCCATTCACATAATATACAGGGGGGGGGGGGACAAATTCTGTGTGGAGAAGGGTACCCAACTGGCCAGAAAAACCCAGTCTGGCCTACTATTATGCTTTTAACAAAAGCATCGGGAATTAGTAATGTAATGTATCCGCCATTACCACGTGCGCGACCGTTGGACCATGCGGTCAAGCACAAGCCTTTAGCTTCGTTCAATTAGAACAATAGCCAAGCGGATCCTAGCCTGCACCAATCAGAGGGCCAGGTCCGCAGCCGAGAGCCTATGAGACTCTCGGCTACTGTAAATAACCTATAGGGTGAATAGGGGCGTGTTTTGGTGGTGGGTTTTCTGGGCATATATACCGGCCTGCGAGCCGGCTGTCTTTGTCTTGTTCCTGATTGAATAAAGTACTCTTGCTGAAATCACTCCACGTTTCTGAGTACTTTTCACTGGCGACGAGGATGGGATTTTACCTTTCCTAAACAGACCCGGAGGAGACCCAGCAGCACCGAGCACCGATCGCGCCACCGCCGCAGTCCGCCACCGGCGCCGGAGATCAATGCTCCTTCGCACAACATCTCGCTCCATAACCACCGGCATCTCGCCACGCCGCGCTCACAAGCTCAGGGCCAGCTTGAGCCTCCCTGCACCACGCCTCGCCTAGTCACGTCGCTTCGTTGAGCATCAGCCGCTCGGCCGCATCTCATCTCGCCACGCCACGCTCCTCGCCTAAGCCAGCCTGCGCCTCGTCTCTTCGCTAGCCTTGACGGTCCCCCACAGCACGCCTCGCAGCCTCGCCGAACTTCGCCAGCTGCGCCTCGTCAGCTCACCTCGCCGACGGCCCGTTTCCCGCCAAGCGCAACCGCGACCTAGCGCACACGCCAAGATGTCGGAAACAGGCTCCTCCTCCTCCACGTCATCCGCTCCTTCGGGTGCCGCAGCTGCCGCCGCCTTCGTCAGAACCTCTCACGAGGGCATCACTCCCTTCGACCTGGCGCACCCCGAGCGATGGACCACTTGGGTGATGATCCTAAAAAACTACCTCGCATGTTTACGGGTCACCGACGCGGGTATGAAGAGGTCTCAGTTCATACGCCTTTGTGGAATGGAGACCCTCCTTCTCCTGCAGGACCTGATTTCACCCAAGGAAGTAGAAGGGGAGACTTTTGATGACATCATCGCGGCCCTCACCGCTCACCTCGCCCCGAAGCCCACAAAGTTGGCGGAGCACATGGACTTTTTCGCAAAAGTCCAAGGTCCGGAGGAGAAGGCTGCCGATTTCCTGGCCAGCCTTCGGAAGGCCGCCACGCAGTGCGCCTTTCCCAGCCTGGAAGACACACTGCTCAACCAGTTCTTGGTGGGCCTTTGAGAGGCAAAATTGAGGAGGCGACCTCACACTGGCACAGGCTTTAAAGGACGTGGCGGCTTTTGAAAAAGCGCACCCGGGACGCAGCGGACACCAGGTCCATCGCACCCGAACCGTCTCAGACTTGGCCGACTCCGAGGACGACGAGGTCCTAAGATCCACCACAAACCCTCGCAACCGCACCGTTTGAGAGGCACCCCGCAAACGAGGACATCAGAGCCAGCCCCACCATGTGCCAGCTGCGGAGAGGCGCATGAGCGCCGGAACTGCCGTTTCCGGGACGCCGTCTGCCGGTCCTGCAATAAGCAGGGCCACATCGCGAGGGTCTGCCGCAGCCGCCAACAGCAGCCCAGGAAGTCCAGCCACCAGATGGAGCCGATCCACACCGTGGACCTGCACTCGCTCGACCTTCA